GATTTTTTATTTCATTTGCGCCGATTTTTTCTTTCATTTGCGCCGATTGTGTACAGGTAACACATTGTATCAAAATGGTTTGTAGACATGACAGGTGTCCACTCTAAACAATTTTTAAGAGCGTTTTACTACATTATCTTTTCTCCGCATTAAGAGATATTTCTTGTATCATACTCACCGTGTACAACGCCACATACGGGTTGTAGGCTATGTTTGACACGTGGTGGTGGTTTTGAAGCGGAGAAAATGCGATCAAGGTAAGTAAAAGTATCAAAATTTCTTTTTTGAGAATTATTAGCATCAAATAATGTATTTCACGGAAGGAACCGAACAATAATCTATTTCCAGCAAGCAGAAGCAGAAGCATCCGTTTTCTCAAACACCTCGTCCTAGTTTACCGTGTTGCAGATTTTGAGACTTCATATGCAAGTTTCAGGATACAAAACTGCTTGTACCGATTTTTTCCCGTACGATTCATATACAAATGAATTCCTATCATAGAATTTAACCAAATGCCAGCTTTTTAGTCAAAATCTATCGTTTTTAATGTTAATTTTTCATCGAAATGTAATGTGTCGCTCGGGGTGTCAGATTTTGTGTCTCAAGGAGGTGAGGCATTCATTAAAATAAGGATAGATTTACCTATAATTCGGTCTTTATCGGATAGTTTGTAATTCACATACTCTGTTATGATGACTCAGTACAAACTTAAGGTATTTCATTTGGCCCATATTTTAGATTTTTAAGTTATGTGCATTTTTAATGTTAGAAATAGAAAATTGTTTGTATTTATTCCATAACCATTTAATGTATTAAAACGTGTTTGTGCAAATAAATATTGTCTATTGTCTATTTAGTTTTTAAACTAAATTCGTATAATTCATCAATGGTAATAATAATAATAATAATCTTTATTGTCATAGAAACAAATAAAATGTATATATATTTACAGATCTAACATTGTTTGGCTAAATTTGAGACAAATTATATATATATTATGGTGTTAGTCCTGTATAACCACAGGTTATCCGATGGATAATGTCTGTCATAAGGTTGTCACATGTTTAGACGTATATATAGTGAATTTTGTAAAATCCCTGAAATATCAGGAGTTTTGTAAAAAAACTTAACTGATTAGTGATTTTATAAAATCCCTGATTTTGACTAGGGATTTTACAAAATCATTGAAATAATTAAGATTTTTACAGATTCACTGATTTAATTCAGGGAATTTCTAAAATAATCAATCTTCTTTTCATCAAATAATTCATTGAAAAAAGACAAAACAAAACTGAAAAAGTTCCTATTTGATTTTCAAGGTTAGCAGTTTTCAAATAAATGAGGGAAAATTAAAATGCAATATATGGAAACGGGAAAAATAAGAGGAACTTGTGGAACATTTTGCCAAGGACCCACAAAAAAGAGAAAACAAGTTCATATTACTACCTTGTTCAAAAGTGAGTTCATGCTTCAGTCTTTAATTGCTTATAAGTATTACAGAAATTATTTATTTTTCATGTTTAATCAGTAAAAAGAAAATCTAAAAATCAAATAAAATCAAATAAGTGTTGTCTTATTAATATACTACTGATTTCTATCCACAAAAAATAGTAAAGGCAACAGATATATACTTCGTATTGGAACCGGCATTTCAATTGATAGGTAACTAACAGGCAAACGGAGGTCCCCTTGATGATTGTTTCATGCTTCACTTGCTTTGGTCATATCTTAGGTACAGTAATATACATCAATGCTATCATATAGGGATAAATAATGGTCTATATTTTCTCCACTCTTTAGATCAACATCACATGAGAAGTACATTTTCTTTAATATTATTAATTATGTAGATATAAAGTTCTTCAATGTGTAGATGTGAAAAATAGGTCTGCTTGTTGAAAAGCAGAGCAACTATGTGACACTTATTATGCAAAATAGGTAAATTGAAGTCTTTATATAGATATAAGAAGATGTGGTATGAGTGCCAATGAGACAACTCTCCATCCAAGTCAAAATTTATAAAAGTAAACCATTATAGGTCACAGTACGGTCTTCAACACGGAGCCTTGGCTCACACCGAAAAGTTAGCTTTAAAGGGCCCCAAAAAATTACTTGTGTAAAACTATTCAAACGGGAAAACCAACGGCCTATAATCTATATAAAAAACGAGAAACGTTTATATCTGTATATATGCCTTTTATTCATAGTCACTTAAAAAGAGTGTAAACCAGTGATATATATTTTAAAAAGGAATGAATTGTTTATCTATATCAAGAAAAATACATTTCTGATATCAAGTATAAACTTGCAATTAGGGATTTTACAAAATCCCTAGCAATATGTTCAGTGATTTTATAACATCCCTAACAATTTCAGGGTTTTTACAAAATCACTGAAACTGTTAATGATTTTATAAAATCACTAACTATTTCAGGGATTTTACAAATTCATTGTAACATATATATATATATATTAAAATGAAATTATAATTTGATGTGACGGCATGGTAATTACATTATCATCCTTTACGACGAAAAAAACTTACTTAGCTGATCTGAAAAGATATACTTCCTACTTGCCAATTTACATCATGTACTGTGTTACAGCCCTCGATAAAGCCGACGAGGAAAGGCATTACTCGTCTAACGAAAGCTATATTTTATAGCCTATAGTAGTTGGGCGCTGGACACAGTGCAGGTGGAGTTACCACGATGTCACAGAAGCAAGAGTTCGAATCCCGCTGAGGAAAGAACAAAAATTTGCGAATGTAAATTTACAGATCTAACATTGTTGGGCTGAATTTGAGACGAGTTATATATATATATATATATATATATTTCGTATACAAGTTGCGATTTTGTACATGTTATAACATGTACAGAAATATTGTACCTGTTATTACTTGTACAATGCAAAAATACAAGTTATAACATGTACAAAAGTACATCGTACATGTTATAAAATGTACAAAATATTGCTTAAAAATGGTTTTAACTTGTACAAAATTTGAAAATAAATTTAGATAAAGCAAAATATACATTTGAAACTTATTGAAAAAAATAAAGAACAATAATCAAAAGCTCAGAACTTTTTATCTTTAGAGCATAGTGATCACAAAGTTTCAGAAATGTTTTTATTGCTTCACGGCTTATGTTAGCCTACAGCAGCGTGATACTGTTTAGTAATAGCATACATTTCCTCAATGGCAACAAAGTAGATAACTAGTTCATCTGAAACTTTTAAGAACAATGCCTTACTATTTTGAATTATACCCCTCCCCCTCTTTTTTTAACATGCAAAAACTAAAGCAAGGTCTCCTATGCATAGAGAGAGAAAATGGTTTTTATTGGACCACGCTTAATTATAAATAACTTGGGAATTATTGAATCTGCTCTTCAACATTAAAAAAACTATTCATCTGGTCATTAACTGGTATCAAAAAGGACAAAACACACCAACAAGAATGAACAATAAAAAAATGAGGAAAATATTATTGAGGTTAATGACATTTGTTGTAATAATAAAACAAATCTTTATTTTCAAATTTTGTACAAGTTAAAACCATTTTTAAGCAATATTTTTGTACCAGGTACTTTTGTACATGTTATAACTTGTATTTTTGCATTGTACAAGTTATAACATGTACAATATTTCTGTACAATGTTATAACATGTACAAAATCGCAACTTGTACACGACATATATATAAGTACGTCTGAACCAGTGACAACTCTACGACAGATTTTATCCATCGGATCACCAGTGATGGTGATACAAGGCTGAAAACACATTCTGTATACATAATTCGTCTAAATAACAGCCCAACAATGTTAATTTTTGTTCTTCCCTGGCCAGGATTCGCACTCATGTGTATATATATATATATAATTTTTGCACCTCATGTTTGCGGTATACCATCTTCTCCGCTAGTTTATTGTTTTCTGTTTGGTACTAAATTAATAATTAAGATCCATGTTACATCTCGTGATCAATTTATTTGACAATCGTCAATGGCAGTCAGCAGGGTTTAAGAACATCAGTTGTTCGACCTGTTAGTCAAATGCGTTTTGTTAAAATATACTTTTCATTTTTTTTGTCATTTGGAAAATGTTGTTTGTGCTGTATTTAGACCCCTCTACCAAGAAATTTGTTTTACATTCACACGTAAAAAAAATTGCGGTTTTTATCCAACGCAATCATAGGTTTGAACGTTGTTTTCAATTTAGACTTGTATAATATATATATATTTCAATGCAATATACACTGAACATGAATCATTGATGCAGTCAACAAATATATATATGTTCCTCGTTTTCAAGAACATGGCTACAAATTTAAAAATAAGAAGATGTCTACTTGAAGTGTTTTAAAATATCAACCCTTTTCAATTTCAAGATTGTGGTCACTTATACGGAGTTTGGTGAAACACTTTCTTATAATAAAATTGTGGTACCATAAGTAAAATTCATCTTGACCAAGTTTTATATTTTTGTATAAAAATAACTTATTTTTTCATCATAACTATTTAATTTATTTTCAATTAAATCTTATATTTATCTTCTTTTCTCTCTTGATAAGAATCTTGAGTGGCTTAACTTCTTTCAAATTTATACAATATTCTATTTTATGTAAGATATCGCTACCAGGTACAATATTCTTGACATATGTATACCAAGAATATGTACCGTTGTTGTCAAGAGATCTTGACAGCACAAAAGCCTCTTTTAGAAGGGGGTTTATGTTTTCGGTGTAGAGTCTTGCTAGATAAATCAAAGACTGAATTGAAATGAAACGTTTTACTGGCAATCTTCCAAGTTCAGATCGTGCCCCAATATAAATTTACGAAAGTTTAAATAAACTTTTTCAGAGGGAGTTTTGTCTATAAAAAAAATGGATCTAGACTTTTCACATTTTTTCAACTCAAAAGAACAACCCCTTGCAGAAGTTTGCTACTAATACAAAGACCCTTAACGTATGAAGCATCAATAAAGATGTACTCACCAAAATATTTCTCCATGTTGAGCTCTGAATTTTGCCCTGGTAACTGATGATTTGTAAAACTTGTTTTTATTTTTATACCATGTTTTGCTGGAAGTTTGCTGTCGTATGATCTGCCTGAAAACGTCTCTTTTAACAATGCTAGAAGTAAATAACACCATTTGCTTGAAACAAACATCTTTCACGTTTCTAGGTCAAAAGTAGAAATGTTGCACCCTTTGATGAACTAGTCGTTAAAATCCATAAAAAAACATTTCATTCTAATTGTATGCACATGTATAACAATAGTTCACATTCATAAGGTATTTTCCTTTCGAAATTTATGAAAGCAGAAAACAAAACAATGAAACTCTTGATCACGGTGACTGTTAAATGAGATGAAAGACCGTGTGACAATATGTAAAGTGAGATATGTATGCAATTATTTTAGTTCAAAGTCTGCTATCATTATATGTAAATAAAGATTAATCAGTCAAGTATCTAACCCATGAGATTACGTAAAATTAGGACGTGTTCACACCAAACGTCGCGTACTGTAAACATGTTTTAAGTATATGATATGTGTAACGTTGAATTCCGGTGCAACTGAAAAATCTGTGAAAATATCCGTTGTATTATAAAAACGCGAAAAAAATCAGAAAAACAAATGTGTCTGTCAAAACTTCCTGAATAATACGGTGCGCTAAGGTAAAGAAAAAATGCATTACTTTTTGAGAAAGCACAAAAGGGGCCACATTATCGTTTGCGAATCACTAAAGAAAAAAACGTATTTTTGAGCTATAATGGTTATTCCAATAAATCCTGATATGTATGAAACTAAATCTTTAGTGTGTCAGATAGTAGAGTAAAACGGAAATGATGTTTTTCTTGAAACGGTTTAGATTATTTGTTTGAAAGCTAGTAGGATTTTGTTAATTTTTCTTCAAAATTGATCGTGAAAGATCAGGCAACGCGTTATTTTGATCGTGAAAGAAATGCGTGACCAGACAAGACTGTAAAGGTTTTGTTCGTCGATGAAGGCCGTACGATGACCTATTAAAGGGTAAATTCGCGATTCTTTACTTATCACCTAAATATGTTCATTATAATATAAAAAACATAGCCACAAAATTTATATTCCCTCTAATAACGGAGAAAATCGAATAGTTGTAACTTTTTTGATTGACATACATCATCGGGTTGTGACGTTTTAGCCCGATTTTAAATGCTGGGTAGGAAATTAAAATCAGTTAAAGTGTTAATCGCTTGTCTAATTTTCCGTAATTAAAAAGCGTGCAGATGACCGTTTCTCGTAGCTAAAAACCACAAAATAAGAATGAAAGAAAAAGAACACACGTGTAACGTTTTACATTGATTAAATAAAAATTCCTATGGTTTCGGTATATATTTTCGATTTAATTTTATAAATTAATAGTTGCGATTTTTTCCGGAAATATTTATTGAACACAAACTATTTCCTGATATTGAACTGAAAATATTTTTCGTTCTTATTTACCTTAATAGTTTCGACATCCATTTCAACACAAAATCATTATATTTGCGCGCATTTGGGGGATTAAATTTTTTTACGCTTGCGCGCAGCTTTTGATTACATTTGCGCGCATTCATTTTACAGGTAACACAGATAAAATAAAGATAATTCATAATATCTAATATGAATATAGTTAATATGAATTTTTAACATATTCTATTTGTAAATTTAAATTATATATTTTTAAGTCTCCCAAATGAAGTTTGGAAAGACTTATTGTTTTTGCTCAGTTCTTATTATTATTATTCTTCTTCTTCTTCTTCTTCTTCCGCCGCTTTTAAATTTGAACTTGTCCGCACCCGTTCTCCAAAACCGCTTGTCAGATTAACTTGGGGTTTCACAATATGTTAGATTAACATGTCTATTGGTGCAATCAGGGTTTTGTTTGTGCAATGGGGTTTATAAAGGGGTACTTTGAGGGGCATAAAGAAAAGAGGGTTTTACTATAGAACCCTATGGGATTTTGTTTTTAAAAATTTTCAAATGAATATAAATTGAAAACCGTTTGTGATAGACACAATCTTTTTAATTGAAAATGTTCTAAATGATAAAGCCCATTAAATGAAATACAGGGTTAGTCCCCAGGGGTCGCCCCCCACCCCCTGCTATTTAAGAAAGTTCTAATACCTTGTAAGTGGTCAAGATCTCCACCCCTAAACCATATATATTTTGGTTTGTCATGCTAAGATGGTTTGAATGATATACAGGGTTAGTCCACAGGGGTCATCCCGACCCCCCTGCCATTTGAGAAAGTTCTAATATCTTGTAAATGGTCGAGATCCCCACCCCTAAATCATATATATTCTGGTTTGTCATGATAAAGCACATCAAATGAAATACAGGGTTAGTCCCCAGGGGTCACCCCCACCCCATGCCATTTAAGAAAGTTCTAATATCTTGTAAGTGGTCAAGATCCCCACCCCTAAACCATATATATTCTGGTTTGTCATCCTAAGATGGTTTGAATGATATACAGGGTTAGTCCCCAGTGGTCATCCCGACCCCCTGCCATTTGAGAAAGTTCTAATATCTTGTCAATGGTCGAGATCCCCACCCCTAAACCATATATATTCTGGTTTGTCATGATAAAGCACATCAAATGAAATACAGGGTTAGTCCCCCGGGGTAACCCCCACCCCATGCCATTTAAGAAAGTTCTAATATCTTGTAAGTGGTCAAGATCCCCACCCCTAAACCATATATATTCTGGTTTGTCATGCTAAGATGGTTTGAATGATATACATGGTTAGTCCCCAGGGGTCATCCCGACCCCCTGCCATTTGAAAAAGTTCTAATATCTTGTAAATGGTCGAGATCCCCACCCCTAAACCATATATATTCTGGTTTGTCATGATAAAGCACATCAAATGTAATACAGGGTTAGTCCCCAGGGGTCACCCCCACCCCGTGCCATTTAAGAAAGTTCTAATATCTTGTAAGTGGTCAAGATCCCCACCCCTAAACCATATATATTCTGGTTTGTCATGCTAAGATGGTTTGAATGATATACAGGGTTAGTCCCCAGGGGTCATCCCGACCCTCTGCCATTTGAGAAAGTTCTTATATCTTGTAAATGGTCGAGATCCCCACCCCTAAACCATATATATTCTGGTTTGTCATGCCAAGATGATTTGAACAGGGTTAGTCCCCAGGCATCACTAATGCATATAACTTTACTGGACCAAACCAATTTTCACTGGACTTTGCCTAATGTCAGGCGACCCTGGGAATTACGAATTATGGGAGCTTCGTTTGAGAGACTTCGTAACAGCATCCTGTTACAATCATTTCTTGTTCATATTGAATTCTAAAAAAATATACATTGATCACGAATGGGGGGAGGGAATCATTTGTGTACAATGGCTTTCCGTATCGACAGAACACTTCAGTCGGAGGATATTTCATGTCGATGCGCCGTTAATAATTGCAAAGGTATTTCACCAGATTCCCTATTTCCTCTAGGTCTTTGGGCATCACTCCAGGTGTACTACTGACAGCCCGAAATCATTACTACAAACGGCCCTGAAACATTCCTTGCTCACTACAATGAACAATTTTATTCAGCTCATCCGTGTATTTTTGTGCACGTTACGACATGTAAAATCAATACTTTTAATCTTAAGACTTACGATGTTTTTACATTTTTGTCTGTATATATTTCCAGGACAAAGTGCTTGTGCACAACAAAACGGACTTATCCTGCTCGAAAATTATAGTTAAATAAATAAGTATAATCTACCTGTATTTACCTGAGTTTACCTGTAAAAGAATACGCGCAAATGTAATCAAAAGCTGCGCGCAAACGTAATGATTTTTGCGCGCAAATGTAATGGTAATGCGCGCAAATGTAACGGTAATACGCGCAAATGAAATGCACCGGTGTGAATAGAATATGTCTATTATTTCGGAAAGGCTTTATTTCTCGAATAGATGAGCCTTTTGTAAAACAATTCGTTTGAACTTAACCTGAGATAAATTTAGCCTCTAGCGTACACTGTTACAGGTGTGAATGATGTCATTTTAAATGGATAGTAGTCTCAGAATGGATTAACAGAAAGAGAAAGGCGAGTTTAATACACAAAGATGAAATATCCGATGACAATAAAGAAAATTTATACATAAATTCAATGAAAACAAAATTCAAATTTTTAATTCCAGCAGTGTATGAAACTTAAAAAGGAACAATTTTCAATTACGTACTATGCAATTTAAATAAAGATTCAAATATGAAGAATAAAAGAATAATATTTTTAATGCTATAATTTCCCCCAATTTGATAGAGAGATACCATTGCACATGTATTTAATTTAGTTTACCGGAATTCTTTAACTTTTATTTAACCTGTCAATGTATACATAATAAAATTCAAATAGCAATCACCTGGAGATAATTACTGGGGGAATTTTTTTAAAATAAAATGCCAATTATTATTTATTTTATAAAAATAAAATGATTGACATTCATTAGAAATTTTGGCTAATTAATATGTGATAGTCCCGTCATTACCAAGACCTATCCATAAATGAAATGCATAAAAACGAATACTTGCATTACTTTTAGAACATACTCACCCCTTCTCGTCCAATGAAAAGTCAGTTTTTTCCCTCTACTTTTCATAGTACATGGCTTTCCATGCACTATAAAATGCTATACATGAAAGACTTTTCATTGTAGATTAATTATGAAAGTGAACTCTTTAAGAACTACACTAACGAAGTGTACAATCCCCTGAGGCATTTTCCTTGGGAAAATAGCCTACTGATTAAAGATGAAACGGAGAAAAGAATAAAAAAAAACATTTTGAATTTTGCAAATGTTTATACATTTTGTAATGGTACGCATATATATAATAAACAAAAAATGAAATGGGGGTACAGATATAGGTAAAATAATATTTATTCAATTTGTATACCTGACATTCGAGTCATTTTTTTTTTCTTTCAAAAAAACAATGTCAGACTGCTGATATATAAAACAAAGGATTTTTTTTTCGAAAAACACAATACATGTACATTTATCAATAAAAAGTAAGCATGTAATGTTGAATGGTCTGAATTCAAATATTTATACAGTGAGTTTTATAATTATAAAAAGAAAATCAAATTCCAAAAAGCGGATTTATATAACATTGTGTACTTTTTAAAATAAAAAAAATTGAAGATATTTAAGTATTAAATTTTACCTGAAGCAGAAGAAAAACTCAAATGTTTGAACAATTTATCCTTTTTGTCCTCACAAACTATGTCAGTGCTATTTCATTCCATCCATTGAAATGATCATTCACTTCATTATAAAAAGTGAACTTTTATTTAGGTTTGAATATTACAATGGGAAAGGATAACTCGAAAGTGT